GATATTACATAACAGTTCAACCCTCTTTCCTTTTGTTTCCAGGACATTCTTCAGTAGAACCACATATTTGTCTCTTCATGTCTCTTCTTCATTCGTCAGGAGATTGTTCAGCATTCATTGCCATATAAGAGATTAGATATTACATAACAGTTCAGCCCTCTTTCCTTTTTGTTTCTAAGGACATTCTTCAGTAGAACATCTTTGTCTTTCTTTCTCTTCTTCATGTCTCTTTTTCATTCTTCATTTCGTCAGGAGATTGTTCAGCATTCATTCCTTTTGTTTAAAGGACATTAGATATTACATAATCTTTTCAGTTGTCCTTCTTTTCTTTTTGCATTTTGCCATATAAGGACATTCTTCAGCCCCTCTTTCCTTTTTTTTCTAAGGACATCTTTGTCTTTGTCTCTTCATGTCTCTTCTTCATTCGTCAGGAGATTGTTCAGCATTCATTGCCATATAAGAGATTAGATATTACATAACAGTTCAGCCCTCTTTCCTTTTTGTTTCTAAGGACATTCTTCAGTAGAACCACATCTTTGTCTCTTCATGTCTCTTCTTCATCCGTCAGGAGATTGTTCAGCATTCATTGCCATATAAGAGATTAGATATTCACATAACAGTTCAGCCCTCTTTCCTTTTTGTTTCTAAGGACATTCTTCAGTAGAACCACATCTTTGTCTCTTCATGTCTCTTCTTCATTCGTCAGAGATTGTTCAGCATTCATTGCCATATAAGAGATTAGATATTACATAACATTTCAGCCCTCTTTCCTTTTGTTTCTAAGGACATTCTTCAGTAGAACCACATCTTTTGTCTCTTCACATCTTTGTCTCTCTTCTTCATTCGTCAGGAGATTGTTCAGCATTCATTGCCATATAAGAGATTAGATATTACATAACAGTTCAGCCCTCTTTCCTTTTGTTTCTAAGGACATTCTTCAGTAGAACCACATCTTTGTCTCTTCATGTCTCTTCTTCATTCGTCAGGGAGATTGTTCAGCATTCATTGCCATATAAGAGATTAGATATTACATAACAGTTCACCCCCTCTTTCCTTTTGTTTCTAAGGACATTCTTCAGTAGAACCACATCTTTGTCTCTTCATGTCTCTTCTTCATTCGTCAGGAGATTGTTCAGCATTCATTGCCATATAAAGATTAGATATTACATAGATCTTTTCATGTTTCTAAGGACATTCTTCAGTAGAACCCATCTTTGTCTCTTCATGTCTCTTTTTCGTCAGGAGATTGTTCAGCATTTTGCCATATAAGATTAGACATTCCCTCTTTTCTTTTTGTTTCTAAGGACATTCTTCAGTAAACCACATCTTTGTCTCTTCATGTCTCTTCTTCATTCGTCAGGAGATTGTTCAGCATTCATTGCCATATAAGAGATTAGATATTACATAACAGTTCAGCCCTCTTTCCTTTTTGTTTCTAAGGACATTCTTCAGTAGAACCACATCTTTGTCTCTTCATGTCTCTTCTTCATTCGTCAGGAGATTGTTCAGCATTCATTGCCATATAAGTGATTAGATATTACATAACAGTTCAACCCTCTTTCCTTTTGTTTCCAGGACATTCTTCAGTAGAACCACATATTTGTCTCTTCATGTCTCTTCTTCATTCGTCAGGAGATTGTTCAGCATTCATTGCCATATAAGAGATTAGATATTACATAACAGTTCAGCCCTCTTTCCTTTTTGTTTCTAAGGACATTCTTCAGTAGAACCACATCTTTGTCTCTTCATGTCTCTTCTTCATTCGGGAGATTGTTCAGCATTCATTGCCATATAAGAGATTAGATATTACATAACAGTTCAGCCCTCTTTCCTTTTTGTTTCTAGGACATTCTTCAGTAGAACCACATCTTTGTCTCTTCATGTCTCTTCTTCATCCGTCAGGAGATTGTTCAGCATTCATTGCCATATAAGAGATTAGATATTACCCATAACAGTTCAGCCCTCGTAGAACCCTTTTTTGTCTTTCTTCATCCGTCAGGGACATTCTTCAGTAGAACCACATCAGTTTTGTCTTTTTTGTTTCTCTTCTTCATTCGTCAGGATTGTTCAGCATTCATTGCCCATAGAGATTATATATTACATAACAGTTCAGCCCTCTTTCCTTTTTGTTTCTAAGGACATTCTTCAGTAGAACCACATCTTTGTCTCTTCATGTCTCTTCTTCATCCGTCAGGAGATTGTTCAGCATTCATTGCCATATATGAGATTAGATATTACATAACAGTTCAGCCCTCTTTCCTTTTTGTTTCTAAGGACATTCTTCAGTAGAACCACATCTTTGTCTCTTCATGTCTCTTCTTCATCCATTGTTCAGCATTCATTGCCATATAGAGAGATTAGATATTACATAACAGTTCAGCCCTCTTTCCTTTTGTTTCTAAGGACATTCTTCAGTAGAACCACATCTTTGTCTCTTCATGTCTCTTCTTCATCCATCAGAGATTGTTCAGCATTCATTGCCATAAGAGATTAGATATTACATAACAGTTCAGCCCTCTTTTCTTTTTTGTTTCTAGGACATTCTTCAGTAGAACCACATCTTTGTCTCTTCATGTCTCTTCTTCATCCGTCAGGAGATTGTTCAGCATTCATTGCCATATAAGAGATTAGATATTACATAACATTTCAGCCCTCTTTCCTTTTGTTTCTAAGGACATTCTTCAGTAGAACCACATCTTTGTCTCTTCATGTCTCTTCTTCATTCGTCAGGAGATTGTTCAGCATTCATTGCCATATAAGAGATTAGATATTACATAACAGTTCAGCCCTCTTTCCTTTTGTTTCTAAGGACATTCTTCAGTAGAACCACATCTTTGTCTCTTCATGTCTCTTCTTCATTCGTCAGGAGATTGTTCAGCATTCATAAGAGATTGCCATATAAAGTTCGATTTGATAAGGACTTCTTCAGTAGAAACAGTTCAGCCCTCTTTCCTTTTGTTTCTAAGGACATTCTTCAGTAGAACCACATCTTTGTCTCTTCATGTCTCTTCTTCATCCGTCAGAAGATTGTCCAGCATTCATTGCCATATAAGTGATTAGATATTACATAACAGTTCAACCCTCTTTCCTTTTGTTTCTAAGGACATTCTTCAGTAGAACCACATCTTTGTCTCTTCATGTCTCTTCTTCATTCGTCAGGAGATTGTTCAGCATTCATTGCCATATAAGAGATTAGATATTACATAACAGTTCAGCCCTCTTTCCTTTTGTTTCTAAGGACATTCTTCAGTAGAACCACATATTTGTCTCTTCATGTCTCTTCTTCATTCGTCAGGAGATTGTTCAGCATTCATTGCCATATAAAGATTAGATATTACATTTAACATTTCAGGACATTCCTCTTTTTCCTTTTGTTTCGTCAGAAGGACATTCTTGCCATATAGTGATTAGAACCAGTTCAACCCTCTTTCCTTTGACATTCTTCATAGAACCACATATTTGTCTCTTTCTTCATTCGTCAGGAGATTGTTCAGCATTCATTGCCATATAAGAGATTAGATATTACATAACATTTCAGCCCTCTTTTCTTTTGTTTCTAAGGACATTCTTCAGTAGAACCACATATTTGTCTCTTCATGTCTCTTCTTCATCCATCAGGAGATTGTTCAGCATTCATTGCCATATAAGAGATTAGATATTACATAACATTTCAGCCCTCTTTTCTTTTGTTTCTAAGGACATTCTTCAGTAGAACCACATCTTTGTCTCTTCATGTCTCTTCTTCATTCGTCAGCAGATTGTTCAGCATTCATTGCCATAAAAGAGATTAGATATTACATAACAGTTCAGCCCTCTTTCGTCAGAGATTTTTTGTTTCTAAAAGAGGACATTCTTCAGTAGAACCACACCTTTTTTGTCTCTTCATGTCTCTTCTTCATCCATCAGGAGATTGTTCAGCATTCATTGCCATATAAGAGATTAGATATTACATAACATTTCAGCCCTCTTTTCTTTTGTTTCTAAGGACATTCTTCAGTAGAACCACATCTTTGTCTCTTCATGTCTCTTCTTCATCCGTCAGGAGATTGTCCAGCATTCATTGCCATATAAGAGATTAGATATTACATAACAGTTCAGCCCTCTTTCCTTTTGTTTCTAAGGACATTCTTCAGTAGAACCACATCTTTGTCTCTTCATGTCTCTTCTTCATCCGTTAGAGATTGTCCAGCATTCATTGCCATATAAGAGATTAGATATTACATAACAGTTCAGCCCTCTTTCCTTTTGTTTCTAAGGACATTCTTCAGTAGAACCACATCTTTGTCTCTTCATGTCTCTTCTTCATCCGTTAGGAGATTGTCCAGCATTCATTGCCATATAAGAGATTAGATATTACATAACAGTTCAGCACTTTTTTCTTTTCTTTTTTTCATGCCATATTATCCTATATTTTAATACTTTGCTTAGTTTCTGAAAAGCATCTTTTGCTGTTCGTATGTGCCTCTGGATTTCTCTTTCTCATGTTTCACCGTCCATGACTTCGCAAATCACATAGTACACTTTTCTTCCCAGTTTGATTCTGGGCACTTTTAAACGTACATCACACTTTTGACTGTTTCTTTTGCTGGTAAATATGAATTCTGCTTTCCTCTTTATTTAATAGTCCTTGTTTCTTGCTTTCCTTTCATAGCTTTTAGTTTTCTTCTATATGTTGTATATTAAGATTGTGTTCACTGACAATAAATTGTCTCGTTGTAAAGTAAATATTGGTGAGTGATATTGTTTCGTTTGTTACTGCTTACCAATTCTTTGGAAGCTATTTGAAGCCATAAAATATTTTTAATTTGTAAGAATTTGAGGGGTGTTATGATAATGGTTTAGTGCTACAAGTCTTACTAATTAACCCATAGCTGGAGGGAAAGACGTGGATTCCTACCTTTTCCATATATATTTGCGTGTAAGTGAATATTCCGAACCTAATGGGAATTGTTACTCGGCTCTCCCATTAACAACCATTTTACCACCCGCACATCCAACTTTACATCAGCTGGTATTCCCAAGCTGTCACCCACCTAGGTACTAACCAAGCTCTACATTGCTTAACTTCGGTGATCGAACGTAATGTAGCCTTAAGCCTTCCTTCAACGTAATGTGGCCTTAAGCCTTGCCGAGTTATAATTGATCATTAAAATTATTACAGAAATATACTGGAGTGCTTCAGTTTCTTTGGAAGACATCATTGATTGCATGAGTGTCAGCTGTGGAGCGTTTGTTCCTAATCCATTTCTGTTGTAGAGTGGTTTCACAGTGGAGGCTTGTATTTGTACTAAGTCGGTCCTAAAACAGGTTCGACATACAAAACGTTAGGAACTTGATATAATAGGTAATGACGCAGAGAAATCTAATTGTGGTGACTGATACTTTAATATCCGACTAACGGTCGTCCGACATCGACTGACTGACCAATGATATTTAGTCACCCCACCCCACCTCCCGCCCACGAGGTCATCATGTGGAACAAGGCCGGTTTAACGTGGGATATTCGAGCCCGTGGGCTCTGCCAAATCTACGCCCATTGAACCCGAATAAACGGGTTCATAGTTGGTTTACCTCCCCGAAAGAGAATCCGCCCTGCGGCGTAGCCTCCTTCGGGTTCCTCCCCGCCCGAAGGCAGAGTTCAACCGATCAGCCAGTCGAATGACTGACCAGCTCCCTGAGCGACTGCTACTACTCCTACTTATTATAGGTGGGAGAGTCTATTAACTATAGAATTGGTGTGTTCCACTATAACAATTTAATTGGTTAATTCTTATTTAGTTCTTGGCTTCGATTCTCACTTGGTGCCCTCTTTACTTAACTCTCTCATTTTGAAAACTGGCTCGACGCCTTTCCTCTTTCTCGTCAATCGGCTTTCAGTCAGGCTATGATAAAATCAATAAATATCTGTAAACCATATTTATTCATCCGGTAACGCTGACCACCGCAAGTCAAGGGAAGACAACTCTCTTACTGTTAGGGCACACGATCAATGTTAAAATGTTCCTCTTTCTGAAAAATGCGGTTCAGCTTCAGTTTTTCATCCGTATACTGCTGTTACATAGATCAGTATATTTAGGGCGCTTGCTATAGAAAATAATACTAGCAAATTAATTTGGAAGGCGAGAGCTTGTGTTACAAACCCTGTCGTCAATTAAGACTATTATCGTGACGTTTTACCAGACTAATCTAAAATTAAAACTGACTGCTATTATCGTGATTTTTTGGAACAAGTGACTCATGTGTATCAAGATTACAGGAGTAAATAAACATTTAAATACAGAGAAAAACGATTTAATAAACATTCCTTCTGGAAATCTATACAATTCGACCACTTGAGTCAAGACACTCATACAGAAAAACTTGAATTCAGACATCCGGTTTATGATTCCAGAATTTCAGTGTCTTTTTATCAGTGAGTGACGTAGCCGACTGGATTAAGAGTTTGACTAAAACTATCCTGATGTTCTTGCAATTAGGAGTTCAATCCCTGTGTTGAAAAGCCTCACAACCTGTCTCAGCGAAAGATTCATAGCTGGGATATGAGGAATTAGCTTCTAAGAATCTTTGAAACAGTCGGAAGGAATAAAGGTTTCGGTTCGGTAGTCACCAGGTATGAAAGCAAACACCTGAAGAACATCCAGGTGAGTATGACTACCAATGCTAAAGTATTTAATTAAAAAAATACGTATTTTATTTAAGGCAGAGCGAATCATTGGGATGTAATGAAACTAACCTGAATTATTTTCACGTGAATTCTAAGAGGACTCACGAGAAAAATGGTCGAAAGTCATCCAATAATAAAAAGAATTTGACTCGTTTTAGTATTCCTACCTTTCCTGCTTATCCCATATCCCAGAATTCGAAAAGGACCTCCAATCGGTTGTGAACTGGTGTAGGAATTGGCTGGTCAACTTTAATTCCTCAAAAACAAAATTGCTCTCTATTAATCACCATTAAAATGTCTGACGCTCAAATTCTCGAGAGCAACTCTCTGCGGCTTCTCGGTCTCACGTTGACTGCTGACCTGAGATGGAATAAATACATTGAGTCAATTGCCTCGTCCACCGCAATGATAGTTGGCTCCCTGAGCCGCCCCAGGAAATTTTTCTTCCTGGAATCGATCCTTCAGATCTACAAATCAACAATTCGCCCTTGCATGGAGTATTGCTGCCATATATGGTCTGGAGCCCCTTCTGTTTGCCTCGGGGTTCTTGATAGGCTCCAGAGGCGGATATGCAATATAATTGGCCTTGCTCTGGCATCTCGTCTACAGTCACTTTCTCACAGACGCGCCGTCGCCTCTCTCTGTTTTACAAATACTTTCATGGCAATTGCTCCGAGGAGCTACATTCGCTGGTTCCCAGACTTCATGAGTTCAAGCGCCCTACGAGGCTGGCATCCCGCTCTCACCCCTTCACTGTCGAAACTCCTAAATGTAGCCGTCTCTTCTACTCCAATGGCTTCATATCTCGCACCTCTCGCCTGTGGAATTCCCTTCCCTATTCCAGTTTCCCTGAGAGCTATAATCTCCAGCTATTCAAATGTAATGTCAATCGACATCTCCAGTTGCCTTGATCTATCCACTACCTCATCCTTTCCTCTATCACTCCTATTTGATCTTGCTCCAAATCTTCTGTAACCCCTTGCGTCCTAGTGGCTTCCCGCCTTGCTTGGAGTGAAACGCTTAAAAATAATTCCTAATACTAATTTTCAAGGTATAGTTGGGCCGTATACAGTTGCAAAGGGAGCACAACCTCCATGTCCCTGATTTCGTTTTGTGCCTTTACTCTTCTTAGCTTAATCAATGTCAGTACTATAAAGAGAGTTGATTTGTGCTTGATACAACAATGTTACATAACTCGAGCAATAAGCTCGAAAACTATTTTTTTTGATCGACTTCACCCCAAGCAAGGCACTAAAGACACTAAGACACAATGGGGTTTACAGGGTGTAGAAGTGTTTGAAATAATTGCTAGGAAGCGAAAACAGAGCAAGTAGTAAGACAGTAGATAGCGATTGACATTGCATTTACATTTTTGAAGATTAAAGTTGGCTGGGAAGCATGGAACCGGAAGGGAGTTCCACAAGCGAGAAATGCGAGAAAATTTAAAAAAAAAAAAGTTACGGTTATATCTAGTCAGCTCAACTTTAAATTGGTGAGACCTCGACACCAGTCTATTGCTGCGCTTAAATTCATAGAGTCTGGACACCGTCGCGAAGAGCTGATCTGAACAATTACCATGAAAGTTTTTATAGAAAAGGCAAGTTTTTATAGGAAAAGTGATTGAAGACGAGATGCCAGATCAGAGCCAATAATATTGCTGATTTTTTTATTCTATTTTATCAAGGAGTTCTAGATAAATAGCAGGGACATCGGTGCATATGTGGCAGCAGTAGTCTAAGCATAGAGGAATGATAGTTATATAGGAATAGAAATAGTGTCGCTGTCGACACTTGAGTTTGAACATAGATCGTCAGTGAGCAAACACAGGCGATCCCTTTATTGAATTAAGAAGACCACGTGACCATAGAGAAAACGCCTATATGTAGGAAGTAGCTGACGACTACCATCATTTCTAGTCTATCCTCTATTATTATTCGGATCTTTACTTTTATTCTTTCCGCTATTACTATGAGTGTCATGAGTGATACACGCGTAGGCGATCATGTATCTTTCGATACATTGCTGACGAGGCAGATTTTCTCCCCGATTAAGGAATCGGAGAGCCGAGTTCGAATTCCAGTCGAATCCATTACATTCACTTACGTGATAATACCCTTGGAAAAGGTATGAATCCTCTTCTTCTCCCCACTAGCTATGGGTAAATAGCAGACTTGATTCTATAGCCTTGGATGGCAACTGGTCTAGCGCAGAAAGAAATGGCAACCTACTACGGGATAAAAAAATCTGTCTCGTCAGTCATGTATCGAAAGATATATGATCGCCTAAGTGTGTATCACGCATGGTACATAACTGACTGACTTTTTTATTAAATTTCACACAATAAAAGGCTCGAAAGCCCCCCCCCCCAAAGTAAAGAGTTACAGCTGCCATCGTAATGAGGTGAAGTGAAGTTATTACGAAGTGGAGAGTATGAGAATAAGGAGTATTGATAGCGAATAACTCTTGACTTGAAGAGGTCAAAATGAAAATGTTCAGGAATGCCCCTAAATGTGAGTCTGTTACACCTTCTTAGCAAAAATGCTGAATTGAACTTCCTTCTTATATTTGAAATGCAGAGGATATGAGATTGAGTTGATTCCGTGGGTAAAGCATTACGTATCGAGCGGTAAAGGTTTGAACTGGTTAAACAAAAGAATGTAGTTAATTTGCCAGGGAAATATCGACAATGTAACAATGGTTTGCAACCTTGTGTTCTTAGAAAAGAATTTACTGAGTGGAGAATAAGCCTTCCTCTAAAAGAGCGCGTGTTTGACTTTGAATTCTCACTCATAGCTGAAAAGTGTTGATTAAGCTACGACAGCCTCATTATGGCAGTCATATTCAAGTGCTGGTCTAATGTTATTGTTATAAAGATAAAACATGGCAGGTGACAAATAATTCATGAGTCAGGTACTTACCGTGTACAAATATATATTTTCTACCCATGTCAGAAGTCGCTGGTGAAACCCAGGAAAAACATAATTTCTGTGGTTGAACTTGAGATCTCGCTTGAGTTTAAGTCCCAAGAACCAATCAAGCGAAGAGGCATCCGTGAAAAAACAGACGTTCAGGGATTTCCCGCTGCTAATTGAACGTACCAAGTTTGAATTTGGTGGTATTGAATATGACTAAACAGTTTTCACCCATATTAAGATTAGCTTAATTCTAGGAGTAAATGATTGAAAGAAATGTAAAAAAACATATGTCACCCGAATCTTCCCCATCTTATCCCTCTTTGTTTTATCTTTGGGAGCACTAAGCTTAATAAAGATTAACACAACAACAACTGAATTTCTAAATATCACCAAAAAAATAACAATTAACAATGGCGGAAATTTCCGTAATTCTTCGGTGTGTCATAAGACAACAGTAACAGAAATTCCCGTCATCTGCCGCCAATGGGTTAATACCGTTATGAACT